CTGGAACAAATGTAAGAATCAAGTTGCCTTTCACCATTGTATAACAAGGTCTGTAATTAACTTGGAAACAATGTAACAAGGGTTGTCTAAATTCTCTATCACTAGTAAATCAAGATTGGAAATTTTTCTAAAAGATGCTGTAAATCAAGCTAAGCCCCTGCATGAGGCCATTCCCCAAGTATGGACTCCAAAAAAAATCAACGGGACGGCCATACGTTGCTGTAAACGGCAACAGAGAGAAGGGAGCTTGCGAACAGGAGCAGCTGACGGGCAGTTTGGTGAGGGGGAGGTTAGAGGGCACTAGTGACTTCTGACCTTCTTTAAAACATAACTCTTATAATAATCTATATTCCAGAGATTTAAAAAGAAGCCTAGTTTATACTTAAACTTATTCATAAGAAAAATGGAGACAGAAGCCCAGCAGCAGAGTGAGGGCTATCCTATTTATTACGTCGAGTGTAACATGCATGATTATCTGCCCTGTGGGTGGGTGGCATGTGTGTGCACCCGTTGCAAGGAGCTCCTGACCCTCAGAGACTGAGTTCGGGCTTTGGAGGCCACGGTGGCTGAACTGGAGGAGCTAAGGGAGGTAGAAAGATATGTTGATGAGACTTTCTGGGACACTGCAGTACTGTCCCACCTCCAGTCTGAGAGCCCCAGTGTTCTTAAGGAGGATGAAAATCTCAAGGGAACAGAGCATTTAATGGGAGCAGAGGAAAACCATCCCGTAGTTGAGACCCTCCTCCCAGAGGATGTTGCGGTATCCTCTCGCACTGAGGGGGAGGGAATGCCAGTTAGGAAGAGGCAGGTGTTAGTAGTGGGTGATTTGATCATTAGAAACATAGATAGTTGGGTTTATGATGACCGGGAGAACCGTATAGTCACTTGCCTGCCTGGTGCGAAGGTTGCGGATTTCTCGAGGCATCTAGACAGACTTATGTGTAGTGCTGGGAAGGAGCCGGTGGTCATGGTACATGTAGGTACCAATGACGTAGGGAAGGGTAGGAGAGATGTCCTGGAGGTCAAATTTAGGTTGCTAGGAAAGAGACTGAAATCCAGGACTTCTATGGTGGCATTCTCGGAAATGCTTCCAGTTCCACGCGCAGGGCCAGATAGGCAGGCAGAGCTTCAGAGTCTCAATGTGTGGATGAGACGATGATGGTAGGGAAGAGGGGTTTAGATTTATTAGGAACTGGGGACACTTCTGGGAGAGGGGGAGCTTATACAGGAAGGATGGGCTCCACCTAAACCAGGGTGGAACCAGACTGCTGACACTAAACATTAAAAAACTGGGCTTGTTTAGTTTGGAAAAAAGAAGATTAAGGGGGGACATGATAGCGGTTTTCAAATATCTAAAAGGGTGTCACAAGGAGGAAGGCGAAAATTTGTTCCTCTTGGTTTCTGAGGACAGGACAAGGAGTAATGGGCTTAAAGTGCAGCAGGGGAGGTTTAGATTGGACATTAGGACCCGCCTCCCAGCCAGCCCTGCTCCCCTCCCAGCCGGTCCCTTCCCCTGTCCCTCCCCCCCAATCAAGTGTGTCCGGTATTTTTTCTGAAGTAACCCTACCTCTGTTTTAAATGGAGCTTTACTATACACATTGGATTAATATTGCTAAATGCAAGTCAGAATATTTCTATTCTGACAGGCTTGCTGAATCAATGCAGACAGTATTTTTTTTACAGAGCACCTCGCTAAAGCAGCAAGTGCATATTTATATTCCTATTTTTTTCCAATCCTTATTTCTTCAAAAGAAAATTGTACTTTAGAAGAACTAGAGGACACCAAATGAAATTAATGGGGAGCAGGTTTAAAACTAATAAAAGAAAGTTCTTCTTCACACAGCGTGTAGTCAACCTGTGGAACTCCTTGCCAGAGGAGGCTATGAAGGCTAGGACTATAACAGAGTTTAAAGAGAAGCTAGATAATTTCATGGAGGTTAGGTCCATAAAAGGCTATTAGCCAGGGGATAGAAGTGGTGTCCTTGGCCTCTGTTTGTCAGAGGCTGGGGCCTGGCCACTGTTGGCAGACAGGCTACTGGGCTAGATGGACCTTTGGTCTGACCCAGTACGGCCGTTCTTATGTTTTATATATATAGACACACACTTGCAGATTTACCCAGTGTTGCTCAGATCTGTAACTCAACTAAGTTTTTTTTTTTTAAATATACGGAAAATATTCATGCTTTATTTAAACGATTGTATGTTTCAAAAATACAGTGTTATTTTTATGAAGTTAATTTTTATTTGGGATTTCTTAAAACCAAATTGTTACAATTTTTTTTTGTCAAACAGTTTTACTAAAAAAAATTAAAATGAGAATTCCACCAAGTGTGTTTTTTTTTCTTCATCTTGGATAATAAATCACAGTGTTTTTAATATCATGTGCTACAAAGATCTGCAGAAGACTCATTAAAGGGCTACTTGTGGATCGTGAGCCTCAGTGTATCACTGCTCTACATTGATTCTTGGAAGAGTACAAACTGTAATTTGCTAATCCAGAGGCTTTTCCTCTATTTTGACTTGAGATGAAGGCTTTTTGTCCATAACCCACTCAGGTGCCAGTGTAGGCAGCAACCCCAGCTGTTGGAAATAGAGTTATAGGAGAACCAGATGAATCTTTTCTGTCATTTTGATTTCAAACAGACCTTGATGAATTAACCCCTTTGTGTTTGGTCATATCCCTCCACACATTCATCTCAAAAGTCAAGGAGGATGGTAATAGTACTCTATTATATACTTATAATAATACTCTCTCTCTCTCTCTCTCTCTCTCTCTCTCTCTTTCCTTCCATTTTTCGGCCTCTCTCTCTCTCTCTCTCTCTCTCTGTCTCTTTCCTTCCATTTATCGGTTATAATATATTAAATAGATTAGAAAAAAGATAGCTTATATCCTGCCATGTTTGAAGCTCCCAGCCTCCAAGGGATTGAGAAAATAGCAGGGAACTATAAGATTTCTGGCTGTACTCTTGAAGAATCAATAGCAGGAACTCCTGAAAATGTAGGATATGGAAGTTCTGATGAGTATATAGGTTCTACATCTGCCACTACGTAATATATTATAATTTCTACATTTTTATTTGTTCTTTTTGTAAAAAGATATTACATGATAAAATGCATCTGATTTTTCCTAAAGATTAATTTGTCTACAATCTTTCTGTAGATAAAAGAAAAATCTACTATATAGAGAACATTATTTTTGTGGTTTTGGTTTATTTTTCTTGATACCTTCAGATGTATCATGGAGGGGACATATAGGATCACACATGTGAGTAAAGGCTCAGAGTCCCAAATTCATTATTTGCAGATGGGGGTGTGATTCATCTGGGATCATTGGAGTTGTTTTTGCTTATACTTGTGGTGGGTTTGACCAAGAATGCCTACCTTGACCAAGAATGCCTACCTATCTTAAGTAATAAGCACAATGGAGAGACCTGGGTTCTGTTCCCCTCTCTTTCCAGACTTGTTGTGTGTCCTTGGGCCAGTCACCTCTTCTCTCTTATGCTTTTTTCCTCTTTGACCCTTTCTGACTTATCTAGATTTAAGCTTTCGGGGGCAGGAATTCTCTTTCTATATACAGTATCTACTACAGTGAGGCCTTGTTCTCAGAGCCTCTGTGACAGGAGTGGAGAAACTTTTGAGTTGGGGGGGCCGCACAAAAGTGAGAAGCAAAAAAACCCAAACCAAACCAACCAACCAAACAAAAAACAACCCACCTCACCGGCCTCCAACAAGCAGGAAGACACTCCCCACATTCTCCTCACATGCTAGAGCCTGGGGGGGTGTCTCAGGCTAGTAGATTTTGTAACGGCCCAAAATGAGAGGGGTTCAGTGTGTGGGAGTGGGCTTCCAGGAAGAGAGTTTGGGGTGTGGGAGGGTCTGGGTGGAAAGGTGCAGGAGTGGGCTGGGGACTGGGGATGTGGCCTGGAAGTAGGGTGCAGGAGTGGGCTGGGAATGGAAGGCCTCGGTGGGAGGGATCAGTTACTTGGTGCAGCTCCCCGGGGACAGAAGCACATGACTCCATGTTCCCTGACAGGCCAAGGTGCTGCCATCTGCTGCTTCTATTGGCTGTGATTATGGCAGGGCAGCCCTGCCCCCACCATGGCGGGGTGATTGGCTGCTCCTGTCCTGGCTGCAGGCAGTAGGTGGTGCTCCAGTTCTGCACCCAGCCCCGCTACTCACTCCAGCCCTGTCCCTGCTGCTGGGGGAGGATGGGGGGACTTCTCCAGCCTCAGCTGTGGGCCCTGGGAGCTGCCTTGGCCCCACCACATCGGTGGAGGCTGCTCTGGTTGTGCTAGCTGTGGCCACTGGCAGGGTTCAGCCATCCAGGCTGGTTATCTGGTTATCTTGTAAGCAAGTTAATAAAACACCTGCTTCCGTGGTAACCAGTTAAACTCTTACTACACTGTTCTAGATACAAAATTAGTATCCATATTTGTAGCCGCAAAAATGAGCCTTGGATATCTGCATCCACAACTGTGGATATAAAGCAGATATCTGCATATTTGCAGGGCTGCACTAATTATTTCAGTTCTGGAAAGTTAATCTAGATCCAGTAAGAATGTCACGAACACCCATAATCTGACTGTTTACCGATGAAAACACTTTAGCATAGATTTCAGTATTTAGACTAAATCTGTTTACTTAGATAATGATTTCTCCATCCTTAGTCAACTAAATTTGTGTTTTGTGAATCATTTAGTATTGCAGAAGCTTTACACTCCATTCAGTTACTTGATTTGTTTGATGATGTCTTACTGTTTTAGAACAGATGCATTGGCAGAATAAAAGTTAGGTGGAGATATCTGAAATCAAACTGAAATACAATTATGAAGCAAGTTGGGTAGGTTCCTATTGTAACTGATTTAGCAAAAACCTTGCTAAATAACTATTGTCCCTTTAAATTTAATCTTCTTTAGCTTATTTGTAATTTTAACTTGTTCTGAGGTAGATTCAGTATCCAGTTTTTAAAATGCTTAAATTTCTTTGGTTTCTTCCTATAGGCTGCCAATATCATCATTTCATCAAGATGAGTAATAGTCACCCACTCCGTCCTTACACAGCTGTGGGAGAAATTGACCATGTTCACATTTTGTCAGAGAATGTCGGTGGTCTGATGAATGGGGAAGAGTACAGTGATGTTACCTTTATTGTAGAAAAGAAACGTTTTCCTGCACATAGAGTCATTCTGGCTGCTAGATGCCATTATTTCAGGTGATGTATTGCTTCTTTACGCTTACAGGAAACTTTAATGTGTCTTAGATATATCCTGGGAAGTTCAGAGAGAACTACTCCCATAATCCACTATTCGCTGAACCTGATGTTTCTTATGTGAATGCTTCCCAGGGCATTAAAGCATTGTGGCTAACTATAACATGATAGTGTTTTTGACTGTCATTAAATTGGACTCTCAGTTCATATATTAGAAAAAATAAACTTCAGAACACAAATAGGATGATAAATATGATTATGGTTTTCTCTGTAAAGTAGAAGTATTGCTACACATAAGATGCTTGTATACAAATTATTTATTTAAAAATTAGTTTTAAATAGAAAAATAGTGTTAGCTTTTCTTGCTGAAATCGTGCATTTACAAGACTTGGTCTACTGCAATATGAATTAGGAAAATATTTCATGTTTAAAAATTGGGTCTCATTTTAACATAACAAACCTGCTTCTCAGTCTTAAAATATACCAAGTAAAATTTCAAGGTAATTCTTCTCTCATATGAGTACCAGAGAGGCTAGTAATTAAGATGTGTGTACAGCATGTTCAAATCACTTATCTAGAACAAATATCATAGAATCTTAGAACTGGAAGAGAGCTTGAGAGGTCCCCTGCCCTCATGACAGGACCAAGCACTGTCCAGATCATCCCTGACAGGTGTCTGTCCAACCTGCTCTTAAATATCTCCATTGATGGAGACTCCATAACCTCCCTAGGCAATTTATTCCAGTGTTTAACTACCCTGACAATTAGGAATTTTTTCCTAATGTTCAATATAAACCTTCCTTGCTGCAATTTAAGCCCATTGCTTCTTGTCCTATCCTCAGAGACCAAAGAACAATTTTTCTCCTTCTTTCTTGTAACACCCTTTTAGATGCTTGAAAATAGTTAACATATCCCCGCTCAGTCTTCTCTTTTCTAAACTAAACAAGCCTAGTTCTTTCAGTCTTCCTTCATAGGTCATGTTTTCTAGACTCTTAATAATTTTTGTTGCTCTTTTCTGGACCTTTCCCAGTTTTTCCACATCTTTCTTGAAATCAAGTGCCCAAAACTGGACACATTACTCCAACTGAGGCCTAATCAGCGCAGAGTAAAGCGGAAAAATGACTTCTCATGTCTTGCTCACAACACTCCTATTTAATGCATCCCAGAATCATGTTTGGTTTTTTTGCAACAGCTTTACATTGTTGACTGATGTTTAACTTGTCGTTCACTATGACCCCTAGATCCCTTTCTGCAGTATTCCTTCCTAGACAATCACGTCCCATTCTATATGTGTGAAACTGATTGTTCCTTCCGAAGAGGAGTACTTTGCTTTTGTCTTTATTAAACTTCATCCTGTTTACCTCAGACCATTTCTGTTGTTTGTCCAGATCATTTTTATTTTTTGACCCTATGTTTCAAAGTATTTGAAGCCCTTCCCAGCTTGGTATCATTTGCAAACTTAATAATTGTTCTCTCTGTGCCATCATCTAAATCATTAATGAAGACATTGAACAGAACTGGTCCCAAAACAGAGCCCTGTGGTACTCCCCTTGTTATGCCCTTTCAGCATGATATTGAACTGTTAACTACTCTCTGAGAACGGTTATACACCTAGTTATGCACCCACCTTATAGTAGCCCAATCTAGGTTAAATTTGTCTAGTTAATTGATAAAAAGGTCATGTGAGATGGTGTCAAATGCCTTACTAAAGTCTAGATATATCACGTCCACCACTTTTCCCTTATCCACAAGGCTTGATATCCTATCAAAGAAAGCTATCCGATGGGTTTGACATGATTGTTCTTTACAAATCCATGCTGGCTGATACCTATCACCTTATTTTCTTCCAGGTATTTGCAGATGAATTCCTTAATTACTCACTCCATTATCTTCCCTGGCACAGAAGTTAAACTGACTGGTCTGTTGTTTCCTGGGTTGTTCTTATTTCCCTTTTTATAGATGGACACTATATTTGTCCTTTTCCAGTCTTCTGGAATCTCTTCTGACTTCCATGATTTTTGAAAGTTGAGAGCTAAAGGCTCAGATACCTCCTCTATCAGCTTCTTGAGTATTCTAGGATGCATTTCATCAGGCCCTGGTGACTTGCAGACATGTATGTTGCAAACTTTTTGATTCTTCCTAAGTATCATCTCTTAGGACTTCAAGGCTGCCTGTCGTGTGCTATATTTATGGGTAGAGCAAAGAAATGGGGATTTAGACTCCTTGGTTCTGTTGTTAGTTTTGCTGTATTTTCATGGTATAAGCATCAGCAAGTCATTTCACCTGTCTGCTTCCCCAACTTTTAGGGGGCTGTGCAGGTTTCACAAAGAACATAATTGGGTTGGAAAGCTCTTTATTACTGGTAGTAATACGTGAATAGGAAAGAACCTAACTAAACAGTCTGATCCCAGGGTGAATTTTCATAGCTAAAATTAAAAAACAAAACCAAACCTTCACAGAATATTCTTTTTATCTGTAATCTGACTAAACTTGGTGTAGAATAATTGAGCTAATGATGAAGAGATCCCATAGTGCTCTTCCTACATAGATATAGTCAAACTAGAGCTGAATTATAAGATGAATTTCAAAGCCATTCTTCTTTTTCAGTTTTGTGGTATCTTCTGAGACACCATTTCAAATACATCCTTATTTATTCTTCCACCTGGCATTTAGATGCACTCTAAGCCGGTTGATTTGTTTACCTTTAAAATATATATAACAATACAGTACCCATTATTAGCACACAAGTTTCTCACATTTTCTTTCTGTCTCTAGAGCACTATTATATGGTGGAATGAGAGAATCTCAGCCTGAAGCAGAAATCCCTCTTCAGGATACAACTGCAGAAGCATTTACAATGCTGCTGAAATATATCTACACAGGCCGTGCTACATTAAGAGATGAGAAAGAAGAGGTACTCCTGGATTTCCTGAGCCTGGCTCACAAATATGGATTCCCAGAATTGGAGGATTCCACCTCTGAGTACCTTTGCACCATACTCAATATTCAGAATGTTTGTATGACCTTTGATGTTGCTAGTCTGTACTCACTCCCTAAACTGACTTGTATGTGCTGTATGTTTATGGATAGAAATGCTCAAGAGGTGCTCTCCAGCGAAGGCTTTCTGTCACTTTCCAAGGTGCGTCTTTGTAAGTTCTTTCAGGCATGTTGGACTTGCTCTATTTAAAAAAAAAAAAAACAACAAAAAAAAAACCCTATGACAAAATGCTAATAATGGTCTGTAAAGACAAGTATAGGTCAATTAACAGGAAACTTCAATAGTAAGGTCCATTGGTGATGAAATTGTGATGCTGGAGTTACTTGAGACAAGATGAGTGATGTTTTGTAGAATTCTATAAACATAAACATTATGCTACAGTAATAGAGACTCCAAAGATCATTCCTAAATGTAGTATCTATTCAATTACTCAGTTGTGACCAATTATAAAAGTTAAACATGACTCTTAACAAGATGCTTTCATGGACAGGAGTAGAAGATTTGCTTTTCTTGTTTATAGTTTATTACATGTTTATAAAGTCTGTTCTGCCATTTAAACAGTATAATCTGGCATTTGAAATCTGATCAAAGTATACACAGTAAAGATTTGGAAGAGAGTTGCAAAGATGTCATAAAACTCAGTTTGTGTTGAGTCTCCTGATTGTAGGGCTCCTACATACAGGATCATTCGCTAGTGTCAGTTGGAGCATCCTTTGGGCTGGTACATTTTATACCAGCTGCTAACTGTCCGAATGGTGTGAAATCACAATTGTGGATCATTGCAGTGTAGGAGTATTCAAGTGATGTTCCATCCTCTGTTCTCACCCCCTATTTTATACTAGAGGTAGTATATGAATGTGTGTAAGAGTCTCTGTGGTAGCTGTGTGCTGCTGGAGTTCCCCCATGAATGATTAGAGTGATCCTTCTGAGATAGCTGCATCAGTGGTATAGTGCCAAGTGTCTGCACTGCACTAGAGGTTTACCTAGAGGTGTCTTTTCTTCTACAGTAAATGTTCCTGTCTTGTTTCTTCTGCCTCAAAGCTCAGTGTTGGTAATCCTGCAATCAAATCAGCATGCATGTGAACTAGCGGAATTTTTTTTGTAAGAAAGCAAATTTCAGTTTCAAGCTTTCAGTGAGTGCTTATAAAGGATCTTTAAAACATGCATAAAGAATATTTAAAGTCCCTTTTACTGTAAAAAATACACTTGACTTTTTGGCAGCTTTAATGAAAACATCTATTCTATGAATAGGAACTAGAAACCTTTCATAACCAACAAACTTGGTATTTGGTTACAGAGATTATAATTGCTCCCCCTTCCTCACTGTTCAGTACTTGATGCTAGATATAATATGCCATACCCAATGCATTCTCAGATAAAATCTGTGTGAATGGAACAAATCAGCAGACTTTATTGACCATGTTACCTCCTTTCAATAGCTGGAGTTTGTGGGATAACACAAGCTGCAGGAGGGCTTGCTTTTTAAGGCTCTTTCCTATTTGTAGTATCTGCAGAGTGAAAATGCAAGAAATTATTCAGATCTAGTTGGTTTCATTTGCAGTCAGTGCGTGTTTGTGCTTTTGTCCTGGAGATAGAGCTATATGATTTTTTTTTCTGCATTTACCAGCTTGGCCCTCCCAAAAATAAATGAGGCAAATAGTTCAAAAGAGCTTGGAATAAGTGATACTTGGTCTGCTGACGGGATGGCAAAGGGAGCTATTGTCCTATGGCCTGAGCATTTTAAAAGGGCATAGGGGCCCTCAGCTACTGTTGCCAGTAGCATAGCAGAGTTAAGGCATCCTGCCTGCCCTTGCTTTGTGCCACTCCCAGAAGCTGCCAGTAAGCCCCTGCAGGGTGGAGTGGATCTCTGTGCACTACCTCTGCCCTGAGCACTTACTCTACATTAGCCAGGAACCGAGACCAGTGACAACTGTGGGGGTGGTGACTGCAGGCAGTGGCACATAGACACCAACTAGCCCCCTCTCCCCATCCCAGGAGCTGCTTCCAGAATAGTATGCCAGTTACTTTGGGTGGCACTTGAAAGCAAGTGCCGACCTCCTGTCCAAATCCTGCACTCCAACCCCCACATCAGCCCAGAGCCCATGTCCTACACCCAAAGTCTCTCCCAGAGCCAGCACCACCCAAATATTAGGTAGACCATGTCTGTACAGATGTGGCTTGTGTGGGGACCAAAGTTCCCTGTAAGCTGCGTGGCTATGCAACTGTTTTCTGAGTCCCGCTCAGAGGTTCAGGTCTTCTGTGCAGGCATGGAGCTCAGTTGACTAGCAGGGTGTCTCACTAAGCAGCAGCTTCAAATGAAGCTGCTGGGTGCTTGAAATGGAGACGCTCCCAGAGCATGGGAGATGAGGGAATAAGTGGCTGGGGGGGGGGGGGGGGGATGCAGAAGGAGTTTGGAGAGTCCCATCTGTGCAGAGAGAGAGAAAGAGAAACCCAACACTGTCCTCAACCCTCCTGGGCTGGGAGGAGGGAGGTAAGGGGCTGACTGCATGGGATAGGTAGGTGCTGGCATTGTGGTGAGGTGCAGATGGGGGGGAAGTTCATGCTGTGTGTCCTGGGGTGAAGTGGGGAGAGGTAGTGAGTTTGTGCTGTGTGTCTGATAGGTTGTTTGTGCCTGCAAGTTTGAGAAGCAGGATTTTATCCCAGTACCTGGCTGCGCTGGGAGGAGCAGATTGCACAGGGGTAGGTGGGGGAAAGAGGGAGGGTAGGTGCTGGCATGCAGTGAGGTGGAGGCAGGGGACAGTTTGTTTGGGGTGTCCTGACTCATTTCCTGAAGTGTTCTGTCTGGGTTGGGGGGAGGAGAAGCAGGTTGCATGGGGTGTGTGTGTTTGTGTGTGTGTGTGTGTGTGCGTGTGCATTTAAACTGAGCTGCCTGCTTCAAATGGATAAGCTCTGAGAACAGGTAAGGAGGCAAGATAAGGAGGGAATTAGTAGCTGGGAGGGCAGAGCTGGGGAGATGAGGAGGAAGGGAGTAATTGGCTGGGGATAGGAATCAGAGGGGAGAGAAGTTTGGGGGAATCCCATCTGCATGATGTGTGAGAGGCAAAACCCCAGCACTCTCCTCAAGCTACCTGGGCTGGGAAGGGGGAGACGCTGACTGCATGGGGTAGGTAGGGGAAAGAGGGATGCTGGCATTGGGGTGAGGTGGGAATGGAGAGTTTGTTTGTGCTGTTTGTCCTGGGGTGAGATGAAGGAGGGTGGATATTTTGTGCTGTGTCCTCCACAAGTTTGAGAAGTAGGATTTTATCTTAGCCCCCAGCTGGGCTGGGGAGAGTAGACTGCATAGGGGTAAGTGGGGGAAAGAGGGTGGGTGGGTACTGGCATCTGCAGTGAGGTGGAGGCAGGGGGGCATTTGTTTGGGGTATCCTGACTCACTTGCTGCAGTCCTCTCTGTTTGGCTGTGTTGAAGGAGGAGAGCAGGTTTCATGAGGAGGAGCGGTGTGCCAAGACATTTGTATGATTACATTTCAAATAAAGTTTACATAGGTTTTAATGGTTTAACATAAAAGAGAAAAAGATTCTTTAAACAGATTTTTTTTGAGTGTTGCAGATATCTAAAAGTCTGATCTTAATGATTTTTTTAACTCCTGTGTTACTAATTAATACATGGTATAGCTTATTATCTTAAGGCCAGACTTTTCCTATGTGGTAGAGTTCTGGCTGTTATGTGTGAGAAGTAGCAAGTACTAGGTGTGATGCTAGTTGTTTTGTAGGTTGAAACCTTATTTGCAAGCTCTTTGAAACATGCATCTGTCTACCTACCTTGAAGCTATGTGTTAATTTGTTCTGGGGCTTCTACTCTGAGTTGGTGAAACATACAAGTTGAAAGTTTCAAATCAGAACTTTTATCTATTTTTACAGGTCTCTTTCACTTGTTCTTGTATAGCATGGATCCTAAATATTCCCCAGAGAAACTGTACAAGCCTTAATGAATACCTTTTACTCTCCTTTCCGGTGTCAGTAAATATTGTATTAGTCGTGTTCTCCTTGCAAATACTATTTGTAGCTGATTCATAGATTTGCTTAGCATTTTAAAGCTGAGCTTTGTATGGATAATATGCATTTTGGTGTGTTTACTAGTTGAGTTGCTAGAAAGGATGATGATGCATGTACTCCAAGAGTGGTGTTAGTTTTCTTTTTTATTTGATTTCATATTAAATATCATAAGCATTGCTCCTTGTTAACTGTCCTTTGTTGTAATATATTTTCCTACACACATATGGACTCGATCTATCGATTGATCGTTATTTGATAGAAAATGTTAGAGGAACCCTGATGGAGGTGAACCATTGACTGTTTTGTCCTAAGGCCGGAAATGCTGTCAGTGGGCCTCGGTGATACAAACCTGCAACTAATTTTCAGTAGGATCGTCAAATGATTAAAACATTAACCTCTATTAATTACACTGTTAAACAATAACAGAATACCATTTATTTAAATATTTTTTCTATATTTTGAAATATATTGAGTTCAGTTACAACACAACACAAAGTGTATGGTGTTCACTTTAGTTTTCATTAGAAATACTTGCACTGTAAAAAACAAAGGAAATAGTATTTTTCACTGCAGTCATGAAAGTTGAATTTACAAATTTACCAATAGTCCCCCTGCCCTCGCCTGCTTTAAAAAATATTATACAACTTTAGAGCAAGACAAGGCATCTATTGTCTCTTGCCAGCCTAAGGACTCATCTAGACTACACTAGAGTGTTGAGAGAGGATATGCCTATTCCTCGGTAATTTGCATATCTTCTTCCAATCTCACTTTTGAAAGCAGAGTTTTCGAAAGTGAAAGTATTTTTGACATGGCTTTTTCAGTGAACCCCCCCCCCCTTTTGTTGAAAAGCTGCATAAACCTCATTTTTTAAGGAACAGCAGCTTTTCGAAAGTGTGTGTGTGTGGGGGGGGAGGGGAGTCACTGAAAAAGCCGCGTTTAAACTACTTTCACTTTCGAAAACTCCGCTGAATTTGCATATCCACTTTCGAAACTCTAGTGTAGTCCTAGATGAGCCCCTGGCTTCCTCTCTGGCTATGGGGGGCCTACATAATGAGTTCTTCTCAGGCAGGGGCGTGCATTCCCCCTCTGTGATCCCTGGCTTGTATTTTCAGGGTAAATCTGAAGGTCTGCCTAAGCAGTGATCCTCCACCAAACAAAAGGAAATAGTCTCATAAATAAAAACCTAGGGGGGTACTTCTCTGTGCCCCTTTCTCTGGGGCAAGGTGATATCTTGTTGATTGCCCTGGGGTATCAGTTATTTCTCTAATAGGCAGGTACTTCTCTGTGCCCCTTTCTCTGGGACATGGTGATATCTTGTTGATTGCCTTGGGGTATCAGTTATTTCTCAGATTTGACTATGGGAAGGATCACATCCTTTTACCCTGGAGCAGCTTATTTCTCTTCTGCCAGTTCCTGGCTTTCAAGTGTCCCTAATTTACCTGAATTAACCCTTTCTGAGCTTATAGGAAAAAGGGCCTTTAGCATTCTAGGGCTAATATATCAGACTTCCAGGATCCTTTTGTAGTTGTCTGGATTAATTTTGTACAGAGCCTGCAAATCCACTCACTCCTACTTCTTGTTCAGTCAATCACTCAGACAAACAAGTTAGGTACAGTTTGCAATAGATAATGCTGCCTGCTTCTTGTTTACAATATCACTTGAAAGAGAGAACAGGCATTTGTCCGGCACTGTTGCAAAATATTTATGTGACGGCTGCACTGAAGATTCATGTGTCCCTTCATACTTCAATTACCATTCCCAAGAACATGCATCAATGCTAATGATGGGTTCTGCTCGATAATGATCCAGAGCTGACAAACATGTTTATTTTTATCATTTGAGTCAAATGCTACCACAAAAAGATTAACTTTTTTTTTTGGTGGTTTGGGTTTTGTAGTTTCTGCATCAGAGTTTTAATTTTTTTTTTAACTTCTGGCATGTTCCACACTTCATCCCTCTCTGAAGTGTCCTCCCAAATCTGATTCTTAAACCTTGGATTGAGTGTTGAAGGTATAATGAAAAATATCACATTGGCATCTTCTTTGCATTTGTGGAATCTGCTGTGAAAGCCTTCTTCAAAAGAGCATGTGCTGGATCATCATTCAAGACTGCTGTAACACAAAATATATGGCAGAATGTGGGTAGAACAGAAGACATGTAATTCTTTCCCAAGGAGTTCAGTCACAAATGTGTTGTTTTTTTTAACTAGCATCATCAGCATGGAAGAATGTCCTCTGGACTGGAATGTTTAACATATCTGGCATATAAAAACCTTGCAACGCTGGCTACAAAAGTGCCACATGAATGTTTGTTTTCACTTTCAGGTGACACTCTAAATAAGAACCAGGCAGCATTATCTCCCATAAATATAAACAAACTTGTTTGTCTTAGTGATCAGCTAAACAAGTAGAAAAACTAAGTGGACTTGTGAGCTCTAAAGTTTTTCATTGTTTTGTTTGTGAGTGCAGTTCATAAAAAAAATCTACATTTGCAAGTTATGCTTTCACCATAAAGAGATTGCACTTACAGTCTATGTATGAGATGAATTGAAAAATACTGTTTCTTTATTTTATCATTTTTACAGTACGAATAGTAATAAAAAACATAAAATGAGCACTGTCCACTTTGTATTGTGTGTTGTAACAGAAATTAATATATTTAAAATTGTAAAAAAAAAATCCAAAACTATTTAATAAATCTTAGTTGGTATTCTGTTGTTTAAATGTGCGATATAATTGAAATTTTTTATTTGGGATTAATTTTTTGTGTTCATTGTGTGGCTTAAACTGCATTTAATCAGCGGCCCTAATTTTCATTACAATGATCATGGAGTTAAATGCAGAAGTGAGCTATCAAAATTGTACTTTGCCGGTATGCTGCCAAATCTAAAAATCTGTTTATTTACTCTTTGACCAGTCAGCACCAAGAGTTTAAAGTATGTTGGGATACAAATAGAGTGGTTCAATACACTTCCACACTCTAAACCTAGTTCTGGTGGTGGTGGTCCAATTATAACCTATTATGTTAATAGAAGATCTAGAATACATGTGTAGTGATTAAAATGAGGATAAGCAAGCAAGATATAACCAAATGCAGTATTCAGAATACAAAAAATAAAAAGTCAGGGAGGCTGCTTAGTAAGAGTATTATAATGAGCCGGTAGTGGTTTCGCTTCTGATGAAGAAGGTTATGATTCAAATATGAGGACTTTGGCTTATACTTGGATCAGACAGTGCAGGACATTCACTCTTTTGGGGATGCTGCTCTGTTAGAGGTGCATCAGCGGGAGAGGCATTAAACCAAGGCTCTTACCAGAATTCCTTTTCTCAGTAAAATACTTCTTAATGCCCTAGCTATATTTGAACTATTTAATTGCAGTTAATGGCTATGGTGTTTGTCTATAGAGTCATTGTCCTACTAGTATATCAAGTTTTGTAGAGAGCATTTATAGCTTTACCAGGTAACGATTTGTTTATTTTTGTTATATCTTGAGACATGAGTTTTTCTTGGATGTTCTCTTCTTAGGCTGCTCTTCTAAATGTTGTGCTGAGGGATTCATTTGCAGCACCCGAAAAGGATATTTTCCAGGCTCTGATGAACTGGTGTAAACATAACCCTAAGGAGAATCATGCTGAAATCATGCAGGCAGTGCGCTTACCCCTGATGAGTCTGACAGAGCTACTAAATGTTGTAAGACCTTCTGGATTGCTGTCACCTGATGCCATTTTGGATGCCATTAAAGTTCGTTCTGAAAGTCGGGACATGGACCTCAACTACAGAGGCATGCTAAGTGAGCATCAGTATTTTTTTTTAAACTTGTTGGGGATGGATTTTCAAAATACACCTGTTCTATGGCTAAGGCCCTACCAAATTCACAGCCATGAAAAATGTGTCGTGGAATGTGAAATCTGGTCTTTTGTGTGCTTTTATACAGATTTCACAAGGAAGAGCAACATTGAGGCTCCTGACCCAAAAAGGAGTTTTGCAGGTGGGCCATAAGGTTATTTTAGGGGAACTGCAGAATTGCCACCTTTGATTCGGTGCTGCCTTCAGAGCTGAATGCCTAGAGTAATGGTCTCCAACCTTTTTAACCACAAGATCACTTTTTCAGTTTAAGTGCAATGTAAGATCTACCTCAAACCCAAATAACCTTGCTCCACTTCCTTCCTGCCCTTTCTCCAAGGCCTCACCCTGCTTACTTCAGCCCCTTTCCTCCCCCAACCTCATTCACTTTCATCAGGCTGGGATAGGAGGTTTGGGTGCAGTCTCTAGTCTTGGGCCAAAGGGTTCAGAGTATGGGTGGGGCTTTGGGCTTAGCTCTGGGCATGGGATTAGGGTCCAAGAGGAGGTTCAGGGTACAAGCTCTAGGGTGCAGGGGAAGTCACATCTGGGGCAGGAGACTGGGTGCAGGAGGGGATTCACGACTGGGACATGGATTCAGGATGCAGGCTCTGGCTGGGTACCATTTAACTGAGATGGCTTCTGGGTGGTGGAGCAGTAGAGTTAAGGCAGGCTCCCTCTGCCCTGGCCCTGCATCACTCCTGAAAGCAGCTGGTATATACAGCAGTGGCTCCATGGCACCATGTGCTGCCCCTCATCCACAGGCACTGAGCCCAATGGGAGCTGCAGCAGTGGTGTCTGCAGGCAAGGACAGCATGTGGAGACCCCCTCCTGCCTTTCTCATGAGCTGCAAGGACATGCCAGCCATGTCCAGGAGTAGCAATTATCACAGGGATGACGACTCCTGTCACAACAGGTTAGGCATTTTAGAACTCACTGCTCAAAGAATTAAATTTAAGTGTAAGAGAGAAATGAAAATGATGAATTGCACAGGCCAGTCAAAACCCCAAAATAACCCACTTTGCAAGGAGTAACCTATGTATGTGTTGGGTCAGGAGATGAGAGTGAAGGACAGTATATGTTTGCGAGAATGACAGAGACATACACACGTAGTTTGAGAGTGACCGAGATTTGCATTTCCAAGCTTCCTCCATCCCCTTCTCTCTGTGTGGAGATAGGGTACAGAAGTGGGGGGAGGAGGGATATCCTGACATTAGTGCTCCCCTTTGTTCCCCCTCCCACACCTGCACAGTAAGCAGGAGGCTCCCGGGGGGAGGGGCAGCCCTGAGGCAGACGACAGAAGCAGCATGACAGTGGGTGGAGGGTAACCGAAGTGCCCGTGCTTGATAGCTTCCTGGCCAAACCAGTCAGGATCACCTGTCAGAGGTTCCAAGATCTACCCGTAGATCCCAGTCTACTGGTTGGTGACCACTGGCCTAGAGAGTGGTGGGTTTTGGCCAGGAGCCCAGCTCTGAAAACTGTGCCCCACCAATAGCACAGAAATAAGGGTGACAGTTCCATGCTGCACCATCCTTATTTCGGCCCTGCTGCTGGCAGTGGCTCTCTCTTCAGGGCTGGACTCCCAGCCAGCTGCCACTGTTCTCCAGCTGCCAGTTCTGAAGGCAGTGCCACTTCACTCAGTAGTGCAGAAGCAAGGGTAGTAGTAATGAGACCTCCCCCTTCCAATAGCATTGTGATCCCTCTGCGCAACTTTTTTGGGTCAACACCCCTATAATTATAACATGATGAAATTTCAGATTTAAACAGCTGAAAGCATGAATTTTACAACTTTTAAAATCCCATGCCTGAGAAATGGACCAAAATGATCCATGAGTTTGGTATCTCTGGCTTGGTAATTAACAGTAGAAATGAGTGATATATTCCTAATTGGAAAATACCTATACAGTTAAAATGCCTAAACCAAGACTACTTTGGAATATCTAAAAAATTTTTAAGTGAGAGCGAACTTTTTTCCGGTTATGGAGGCAGAAAGAGTAATGAAAAAATCTAACTGGAATAGTTTCCTAAACTTTTGTTGGCTCTTTTTCTGAAGAATTGCAATGGCCATGGATGATGAACATTAAATTGAAAACAGGAAAATATTAATTCCACATAGTCCAGATGTTGCTTCAACATGTAAATTACAGAAGCATGCAGGAAAACCATTTGCAAAGCCTTGTATCTAAATATTAATCAAACCTTAATGTAGGCATCTATCATATTTTAATGCCAATTTTGTAATAAAAATAATAGTTTTGCTGTTTAGTTTCAAAATATTCTATATCTGATTTTTTTTTCCTTCCCCCTTTACATTGTTTGCCCATATAAAATTAAAATCAGTCCTTACTCCAGAGAGCTTACATTTTAAGTATGAAAAGGGAGGAAAGCATTTCACTTGTTTGCTATAATAGGAACCTGTTTCCATCATCATACTAGATTATTTTTATCATTTGTGAATTAAGTTTTAACCTCTTAGTTGGCAAATGTTTATTAAAAACATTTGTGCGCTACAAAGTAACAATTACATATCACAGAATATTTACCCTGCAAATCACACCGACTTACATTGGATCCCTAGTTACAAACGGGGTGAGGCAACCCCGCACTAGCTGCTTCCCCCCAGCAGACCAGGGAGATGCGAAGCTAGCGCCCCCCCACCCCAGCAGACCAGGGAGAGGTGGAGCGGCTTTTCTCAGCAGACACCTCAGCTTGAGAATAAAGGACTGAGGGAAGTGAGGTGTGGGAGAATAAAACTGAGCTCTGGAGAAATGTTTGGCTAGAGTTTCCCCTACAATATGTACCAGTTCCGACTTACATACAAATTCAACTTAAGAACAAACCTACAGTCCCTATCTTGTACGTAACCCGGGGACTGCCTGTACTTTGTATTGTGGTCTCTTAAATCATGCATGGACGAGCCTTTCATCATGGGAAATTGCTTTTTTATCAGCTGTCTCCAAGTTTTTCCCTTAGGAAGCCATACGCCTTTCTGATCCTCTGCATTCATGTTGGGATTTTTTTCTCAATTCTGTCATAAAGGGGCATTCTTTTTACAATACTGTTAGCCAGAAATTTACAAAGCCTGTATGTTGCCTCTGATTCCCTTTTCTGTGTAGTCACTTGGCCATTGATAGCAGGTAGCGAAGCCTGTGATTTCTCACTGTGTCAGCAGTATAGCTATTTTGAATTAACTTCCTGGGGCTTTTCCTTAAATACTAAGTTCAATTTAAATGTTGAACTGTCACCAGAAAGCTATTCACTTCAGAATATGAAAAAATGCATAATCAAATGTCTACAATTAGTCCACTTCATTATTACTACTTTCAGAAAATAAGGAGATTTCCATAAACTTCACAAACAGTTCAGGATAGAAAGAGAATGATTGTATAGTCTCTCAAAGGGGAAGCTGCCTTGTTCTGCACGAGCCTTCCTCCTGTCATTTAATACCTATGTTTCAGCCTTATGCTCAGAGACACTATGTATTCATTAGTAAGTGGGACCTAAATTTTGCAGCAAGCTCCATGTATTGTGCACGAGTTTCATTTAAATCTTAAATTTGAAAAAATAAAATTATGTTTATTTTTATACTAAACTCATGTTCAGTCTTCAATATTCTTGTAAATATTCGTATTGACAATATAAGTGCATTGTACAAAAATAATTTGAAGTGGGTGAAGCAGGAGGTTGTAACAGGTGGATAAAAGACAGATAGGACTTTTGGCATGTGTGTAATCCTAGGAGGCTGTTAGTAATTATGAAATAATTAGAACATTGACTTTTTATACTAGATTATCTAGATTTTAGACTTAACTGAATATTGAGATAAATGGGAAAATGTACACCCCAAAGCTATCATCAACCGGTCTATACTGTAAGGAAGACTAGTGATTTTAAGAAATGTGTAATTCGTTAATTAGTGGATTAGTGTAACTGTGCATTAGTTGCAGAGCTGCAGTGGGGTTGATGCTGGGACCCAGCGTGAGCTGGGACTGAGCTAGCCTTCTTGCTCTTAAAGTGCTTCTCATGCAGAGCCACAGCAGGAGTTGATGCTGGGACCCTGCTTGCGAAAACATTTACTTACAAAGCCACGGGAGGAAGGGGGTTGCATGTAGCTGATAACATTAACTGATAAGCACCCATTTATTGGTTAATTGTTTAATCAACTACACTATTACACCCCTACAGAAGACAACAATGCATTTTGGATTCAGGTTATGTTTTCAGCATTTTCTTTAGAATTATGAGGGCTAGAAACATGAAATATTTTTTAAAATTACCTTTTTAACCACATATTAGGGATGTTAGCAAATGTGGGTTTTTGTAAACGTGTAACTGCTGAATTTTTCAGCAGTTACAAATTTACACACAGGGTGGCAAGTGGTTCCCACTTGTTCCCCCATTCCCTGCTCTGCTACCCCTCTATCAGAGGTAGCAACATGGGAACGACAGGCAGCTCATGCAGGGAGCCATGTTAAAAGCTGACTCCCCATGGGCACTGGCTCCTGCCTCTCCCGCCAGGGTATGTGTGTGTGTGTGGCGGGGGGGGGGAAGGGTCATTAAGATTAACCGATGAGCCCAGGCTTATTGGTTAACTTCAGTGGCCATAGGATTGGGCTAACAAAGTCCTGAAGCATTGTATAGCCACCAGAAGTTCTGTGCTAATTTTTTATTACCCTAAGATCATAACTTTTAAGCAACTCTTTCTTTCTCCTTTTAGTACCAGGCGAGAACATTGCAACTATGAAATATGGAGCCCAGGTTGTAAAAGGGGAGCTGAAGTCTGCTTTGCTAGATGGGGACACGCAGAATTATGATTTGGATCATGGTTTTTCCCGACACCCAATTGATGATGACTGCCGTTCTGGCATTGAAATTAAACTAGGTCAGCCGTCGATAATCAACCATATACGAATACTACTTTGGGATAGAGATAGCCGGTATGTGACAAGTCACTCTGATTTAAAAGGCTGATTATATCCCATCTGCCACAATGAAAAAATATTGAATTATTAACTTTTGTTAAATACCCATAAATGACACATGGTATGGTTGGGATATCATTGACAGTTATAATTGAAATGTTTAGCATTTGAATAAGCTTATGAGAGTTTTTTTTTCTTGATCCTTGTTACTTATGTAACAAGTCACTTTCAATTTGTGTTGTTAAAATGACTAATATTTTAGTCATCTGCTTGCTTTGCTTGAACATTATAAAACTCCCCTGCCCCCACCCAGAGGCAACAGTGCAGGGATGGGTGGACAGATGCCCCCCCCCCGCCTCTTCCCCATCCTCCCAGCTACCTCTGTGGGAGGCATCAAGGGAAAACAGGTGGCTCCAGGGAGCTGGCATGCAAACTCCCCTGCCCCCACCCAGAGGCAACAGTGCAGGGATGGGTGGACAGATGGCTCCCCCTCTGATAAAGAGGCAGCAGCATGTTGGAGGGGAAAGCTGCTCATGTGAGCTGATACACATGGGAAGCTGGCTTGACTGGCTCCCTCCTATCCCCCTCATCCTCCATGATGTACAGAGGCGGGGCAACAGCGTGGCGGGGGAGGGACAAGTGGCTCTATGGGATCCGATGCTCATGGGAAGCCGGCTTAGATACCGGCTCCTCATGAGCACCAGCTCCCACCTCCCATCCCCTCTTTACTGTCAGAATAGTTGCAGTGAGGAGCCCCCTGGGCGCTTTTGAATCGCCGGGCTGTGGGACAGTTGCTGTCAACGGGCCTGATCACATTTAGCATACAACGAGCTTTTATACATTGAAATTCTTCCGTCAACCTAGTGTTATCTGCATGGGGCCTTACCTCAGTTTAACGATATTGCTTAGGAGTGTGAATTTTTCATAGCCTGAGTGACAGTACCTTGTTCAATCTCATTTTCTAGTGTAGATCATCTTCGTGTTTAAACTGATCTTAGGACTTTAATGATATACAATTTCTAAATTGTCACTTTGCTACTGGATTTTTATAACTAATTTTTTAGAATAGAAAATATTAATATTACTAATTCTTTCAAATAGATTCACTTGTAGTCTCAATGCAGTTACTCTTTCAAAATAACATACTGATGTTAAGAAGATACCTGTTGTCTTAAAAGCTTAACTTTGATTGTTGAGCAAAATTTCTGCTAACTCGAAGCTACTGGAATTTGTTCTTTTTTTTTCTTTTCTGCTTGCAAACATTGAAAGACAACAGATTTAAAATCTGTGAAATAAAATACTTTTATTCAATGCATAAATGCCCTGTTGAACTAATTGTGACAAAATATGAACTAACTGAGCAAAAAACATAGTAGAATTCAAATGAAGTAACAATACCAAACTAGGTCATGACTGATAAAGAAAACCAATAAAAAAGATATAATGACATAACTAGAAAATGCAAGTTTATTTTAAGGGTTTCAGGCTAACATTTATGATCTTAGCATTTATGATAAATTTTCTCTGATATCTTGTTAATATTGCAGTACAAATAATTACAATGCTTGTTTTAAATTGAGCTCATCTTATTACTAAGAATTGTGAGTGACTATTTTATATACTTCCTAAAATATCTTTAACATGTGACTAGATAAAAATTCATTTTTAAAGCTAGTTTGTAATGCTGCCTCCTTATAGAAGTCTGGATATGGGTCACTTTAATGAAAATACATTTTTAAATAGACCCTAACCTCAAGAAAGCATGTTATTTCATAAATATTGGCTGCTTCTATTCTAATTATTATTTTTGGCAATTCAAAGGTCTTATTCCTACTACATTGAGGTGTCCATGGACGAGCTAGACTGGATCAGAGTGATTGATCACTCGAAATATCTTTGTCGGTCCTGGCAGAAGCTGTACTTTCCTGCCCGTGTCTGCAGGTTAGTTTATATGCATGATCCTCTATGTGTATCTTTTCAGTTCGTAGGCACCTAAATAAGAGCCTTGATTTTTGCAGGTATTGAGCAGTGTTCCCTCTAAGATTTTTCCATCCATGAGTGGAGTGAGTTTTGTCTTGTGCACCAATATTAAGGTCATGTACACTTGTTCAGATGCGTGCCACCATGGCAGCTAAGTTATTAACAAATATAGCTATATGTATATAAATAAATAAAATGTTAGGGAAGAAAGAATACTAAACCAAGGGATAACTAACAAGGTGCATGACTTTAAATGTTTATTTAATATTAAATCAAATAAAAAGAAAATTAATACTTCATCTGTCATAGTTGGAAGAGTTGCACAGCTGCCACCACGTAGCAGATTTGGCTAATAAAAGCTTTATTGGTAGTTATACACAAGATGGAGAATATTGAACTTGACTCTGAACCTTGATGTATCAGTAAGGCCCAGATCCAGCAAACTGATTAAGTACATGCTTACTTTTAAACATATAAGAAACCCCAGTGACTGCAAGCTGGGTTCACACCATGCAGAGTTGATATAAAAATCATTAAGAAAAAACATGGAGCTCCTCCCCCCAGCCCAAATACGCCCACAATTCCATTTTTCAAAACAGAGTAAGAACATTTTAAATAAACTAGCCAACTGATGTTATGTTGCCTTTTTTTTAAGATCCTTTCACTCTTGAGATACAAGCTTTGAGTTTTGACTTTTAATGACTCTGATATCATCTAAAGAGTATGTCATTTAAATATAAATGCTAGTATTAAAATTAGATCTTCTTTAAAGCCATCACATTAATTCCGCATGGACACTAGTTTTTGTTGGAGCTCACCCTAACCATTATTTCACATTTCCCAAAATCATAACTGTGTTTTAGGAATGTAAATTTGAATAAGCTAAAAAATAGCAACAAAACCAAAATACCAAAACCCAGTGGGGACAGCAGCTCTGGGACCTTGGGGGCCTCTGTTCCATTCCCTACTGTGCAACGATTTCCTGAATTAATTTTAGACAAGTAACTTAGTCTTTTTTTTAATTCGTTTTATTGTATTATGGCGCTAATAGCACTTTCTTACCTCACAGAGGTCTTGACAATTTATTTTAAACTATGAGGGACCCTGATACTGAAGAAGCCATATCATATATTGATAAAAGAGAGATAAGAAGTGATGGAAGAAAGGGATTCAATGTACAGGCATGTGTCTTCTTTGAGTGATTGTCCACACAGATTCCATGTGTGGTGCATGAAAGTTTCATGAATACTAAGAGAGGGGAAATTGCCTTTTTAGTGAGAGAGCCAATTTAAATCCTTATTCAGTCCTAATTTGATTGATTGTTATGCTAGTACTTATGCCCTAATAAATCTGTTAGTCTCTAAGGCTACGTCTAGACTACATCCCTCTGTTGGCAGAGAGATGTAAATGAGGCACTTCAAAAGTGAAAATGAAGTGGGGATTTAAATATCCCGCGCTTCGTTTGCATAATCGTGTCATGGCGCTCTTTCGAACAAGCGCCATTTCAAAAGTAAAACCGCAGTCTAGACGCGGTTCTTTCAAAAATGGCAAGCTTTTTCAAAAGATCCTGTACTTCTCATTTTTTGAGGAGTACAGGATCTTTCGAAAAGCCTGCTGTTTTCAAAAGAACCCTGTCTAGGCCGCAGTTTTACTGGGTGCATTTGTGGCCCCAATGAATGATTTTCAAAAGTATTTGATCTTATGTGCATGAGATGTACACATAGATATTTCTGTGGACAACACATGACCTATTACTGTTCCCGGAACACATGTAATTGTTCTCATTGTTTTGTTTGATATGCATGTAAAGGAAGACAAAAAAGGAAAATTTAAGCTAAATATTGGTACAATTCATGACATTATCATAGAAACCCAGTTATTTGAGACTTTAAAAAAGAGATTGGACACTACTAGTAAATGTGAAGGGAGCAATGCTGCATTGGAAGGGAGATGAGCAGATGTTTCTTTGTGCTTCTATGATGATATGACAAATAAGACCTTGTTCATCTTTTGCTCATTTTAAATTCTATTTTAGACCAGTTCTCCATACAGGTAGAGCAGTGCAGTAAATATACATGCACAGGGAATCCTCACCTATAAATAAGCTCCCTGGCATCAGAATGAGGTGATATCAACAGTGTTCTTCAGTACAGACTTTTAAAAAGGCTTGCAAAAAAGCAAACCTGATTCTGGGATGCATTAATGGGAATGGTGGTGTTCTTCTACTCGACTGCCCTGATTAGGTCTCAGTTGGATTTTTGTGTCCAGTACTGGGTACCACATTTCAAGAAGGATGTGGAGAAATTAGAGAAGGTTCAGTGAAGAGCAACAAAAATGATTAATGGTGTGGAAAACATGACCTGTGAAGGAAGACTGAAAGAATAGGGTTTAATTTAGAAAAGAGAGGACTGAGAGGGTGCTACAAGGAGGAGAAGGAGAACAATTTGTCTTTGGCCTCTGATGATAGGACAAGATGCAATGGGCTTACATTGCAGCAAGGGAGGTTTAGGTTGGAAATTAGGGAAAACTTTCTAAATGTTAGGGTAGTTAAACGCTGGAATAATTTTCCTAGGGAGGTTGTAGAATCTCTATCACTGGAGCTATTTAAGAACAGGTTAGATAGACATCTATCAGGAATGGTCTAGATCCATGGTCACCAATCCATCGATCCTGGGGGCCTGACAAGTTTATCGCGAGGCTTTCGGGGGCCCCCCTCACTGCTCCCAGGATGAACGCCACTCTGATGCTATCACCAGGGACAACAGTGGTAACGTGGGCTTCCGGTGGGGTGGGGGGGAGTTCTGCAGCTGTACGCCAGGTCCTGGAAGTGTGCGGGCTGCTCTTCCTCCCCCCCTCAACAGCCAGCACGGTACCTAAAATGCCGGTCCATCACGTGCTGGGGACGTTGTTCCCCTGCTGCCTTCCTGTGCGTGGGGAAGGGGGCAGGGGTCCAGGACTGTGTCGGCTCCAGCTGCTTGGGCAGCGTGCACTGCCGTGGGGAGCGG